GCCCAAAGGACCCGCCCCGGCTGCGGGAGCGGCCCCGGGCCATGTGCGGCCGCGGCCATCGCTGCCCCCGGGCGCCGCCCGGGCCTGGGGCCGCTTCACCGCCTCCCCTCCTCCCCGGCCGGTGGTGTCCTTCCGCCGGAGCACCGGGACGACCCCCCCCAACGTCCCGAGAAGCGGGGGAGAGGGCTGAGGGGAGGGCAGGCGGCCTGCGGGTGCAGCCCCGGGGGGAAGGGAGGAGAGGGCGGGAGTGTGTGGGGGGGGCTCTCCCCGTGACCTTCCCGAGGGGAAAAAAAACCCCCAATTTCGGCAAAAAATCGGATGAAAAGCCCCAAACCCCCCTCAGGGCCGCGCGCTGGGAGGCTGAATGGGGGTTTTTTGCTTAGTCAAGGTGCGGAGCTGCAGCCCCTGGGGGGGGGAAGGGTCCGTGGTGGTGGCCCCGGCCCTCGGGGGGGGTCTGGGGGTGTCACGGTGTCACCCCCGGGCACAACCGGCCTCATCCCGGGCACAACCGGTGTCTCTTGGGTTCTTTGAGGGGTTACACTCACTGGTCCCCACTGGTGGCAACTGGGAGAGGCACCAGAGCCTTTCTTTCTCCTCGCTCCCTTCAGACGGGGTGTCCCCCAGGTCCCCCCAGGACCAGGCCCTGACCCGGCCTTTGGGCCAAAGGGTCGGTTTTGAGGCCAGACTCCCTGATTTTCTCTGTGTGAAGCCTCAGGATCCCCTTCCTCATCAGCTTGGAGCCTCCTGGGCTGTGAAGTATTTCAGGGCGATGATCCCGAGCTGCTCCTCATCCTGGGTTTGGGCTCTTAAACCAGCCAAGGGGCAAACACCCATTATTATTTTTTTTTCTCCCAAGGTTTTAATTCTTGCTGCTTTGGGAGAGCTGGGCCGAGGAATTGGGGCTTGTGCTGGGGCTAAAAATTGGTGCCCTGGAATGGGATGGGGATGTGCCTCCAGCCTGGGGATGGGCATTGGTTGGGGGGCTCCAGGGAGGCTGTGAGGGCTGTTGGTGGCTCAGTGGGGTGGGGATGTGGGGCTGGGGGCTGTTCCCATTGCAGGACGGGGTGTGGGGGTGTCAGAGCCCCGTCTTGGGTTGGGAGAAGGATGGGGTTGGGATGGAATGAGAAGTGGCAGGAGATACAAGGTCAAGAGAGAGACGGAGACCAAACACCCAGGGCTGGGGGCGACCTCCCAGTTGACAACTGGAGCTGGGGACGACCCCCCAGTTGATGAGTGGGGCTGGGAAGGATCTCCCAGTTGGTCAATGGAGTTGAACCCACCGAATGGATTGTTCTTCCCCATCCCCTCCTCCCCATCGTTAATTTAGACCCTTTTCTGAGCTCTTCCCTGACACCTCTGTAGGTGCGAGAGCTGAGCTCACACACATCTGCATTTCCTCAGAGTCTCAGGTCTTTCAGACTTAATGTAAAGCTTCTCATTTTTAGCTGAAATTATTCTTGAGGCTCCACGAAAAGACAAATTTATTTTTTTTGTTAATTTACGAGCAAGAAATCCAAGGGCGCTTCTTCACCTTTGAATTTTAGTATAATTTCCTCCTCAAAGGTGGCAGCGACGCTTCTGGTTTGTCCCGTGGACTTCTTCAGAATGGTTCTTCTAATAAAACCAGTATAGAAAACGTGAGCCATCCTGGTGGTGGGGAAGTGGTTTCGCGTGGTGCGTTTGTGGGAGTTTTGTCGATTGCGTTAAAATTTGAGGGCATTTCTAAGGGCTCACTCATCTCTTCGAGTTGTCCCACATTTTTATTCCCAAATTCTGCAGTTTGGGCATTGAAGAGTTCTGGATAGTCCCACTAAAAATGATTTTGAAGAGCTGTGCTTGGCCATTGAAAATGGGAATTCCAAGCTCTTGGGCTTTCCTGTGTTTCAGTTGGATGTTTGAAAGTTGAAGTTAGTTTTAAAAACGGCTGGTTTTGGTGCCCTGAAATCTTTATGCCTCTCCATCTCCAGAAATGGATTGCCTATAACTGGATGTGAGAGGTTTTTGGGAAAACCGGGTCTCTGCTCGGTGTGGAAGGGTTTGGAGTGTGGCTCAGATGTTCCCGCTATTTCCTAGAAAGGTTTTTTTTCTTGGGCAAAACGCTCCGTAAGGGCCAGCAAAATGAAAAAGCTTCACCACTGAGACTTTAGCTCTATCTTGTGTGTGTGGGAAGCCTCCAAAACATAAAGCTGTCGAGTGAGGAAGGGATTTAGACACAGAGGTAGCTCTGGCCAAAAGCGAGTGGGACCAGTGTCAGGTTTTTTCTCCACACCCATGTGCTTTGTTCCCAAATCCTGCACTTTGGATGTCATAAAGCTGTCGAGTGAGGAAGGGATTTAGAGACAGAGGTTGCTCTGGCCAAAAGCAAATGGGACCAGTGCTGGATATTTTTTTCCACACCCACGTGCTTTGTTCCCAAATTCTGCACTTTGGATGTTGGAGAGTTCTGGATAGTCCAACCAAAAATTATTTTGAGAAGGAGTGGGGGGATGCTCTTCATGCCTTTGATCGTGGGGAAGCCAGATTGTAATCTCCCAAACCCAAATCTCCCAAACCCCTTTGTAATGCACCGGGGGAAGCGCCTCGTTCCGTGTTTTAACCATTCCTACCCTAAGATTAGAGTTTGGGTGTTTGCCCCAAATCCAGGAAATAAAAGCAGCAGAGAGTTTTACCCTTGGCCACGTTTGATGCCCATCCAGAAAATACCTATATCTTGGCATCCGACCTGGGCGGTTCATTCCAGGGAACGCTCAGAGCAGGCGGGAGCAGGGAAGGTGAAGCTGAGGGGAGGGGAAAAAATAATATCCAACAAAGTCAATGCCTACTTACGGTCGCCTTCCAGCGGTGCTAATTAGCAGCTTAACAGCCCTAATCACAGGATAGAGCCGCCGGCGCCGTGCGATGGCGGCGCTTTGCTGTTGGCCGGGTGGGGAAGGAGCTTTGGGTGGGGTGGGGTGTTTGTTGGGTTTTTTTGGGGGGAAATGGGGTGTTTTTGACGCCCCCCGCTCTCTCCCCAGCCCACCTTCCTGGTGGAACTGTCCAGAGTGCTGGCCAACCCCGGCAACAGCCAAGTAGCCCGGGTGGCCGCCGGCCTGCAGATCAAGAACTCGCTCACCTCCAAGGACCCCGACATCAAGGCCCAGTACCAGCAGAGATGGCTCGCCATCGACGCCAACGCCCGCCGGGAGGTCAAGAACTACGTAAGTTTTTAGTGATTTATCTAAAGGGAGGTTTGAGGGAGGATGGAGTCCCAGACTCTTTTCACTGGTTCCCAGTGACAGAATGAGGGGGAACAGGCAGAAGCTGGAACATGGTAAGGTCCACTCAAATATGAGGAAGAACTTCTTTACTAATTCCAGTGATCCAGAGCACTGGAACAGGCTGCCCAGGGAGGGTGTGGAGTCCCCTTCTCTGGAGACCTTCAAGACCCGCCTGGATGCCATCCTGAGTGATGTGCTCTGGGCAACTTTGCTTTGGCAGGGGAGTTGGACTAGATGATCTCTAGAAGGTCCCTTCCAACTCCAACAATTCCATGATTCTGTGATTCTTCTCTCCTAAGCAGGGTTAGTGATGAGTGTCTTATCCATCGTTTCCCACCTGGGAAGTTTTGCCTTGACTGGCTCCCTTTCATGAGACGAGCAACATCTTCTGCACTTCCTTGAGTGCTTTGTTGCTCGTAGCAGATTTAATTTGAAGTGGGAGGAGGGGAGGTTTAGATTAGATGCTAGAAAGAAATTCTTCATGAGAGGACCCCCCTCACAGACACTCTGTGTCTGAACACAGAACTTTATACAAGGCCTAGCGAATTTTAAGAGTAGAATATGGTCAAAAATGTGCACATTCCAAATAGGAGATTACATTCTTACATTTTCACAAAGAGTAATGTTTTTGTGTTAATGGAATTTATATGTAGCACAATAAGGTTGTGATGATGATACAACGTTTTAGTCTTTTATTTTCATTGATAATAACTAAAGTGGAACTTAGACTATTAACAGGAGCTGTCATGTTATCTACTGAAGCTTTCAAAGCCAATTTATTGCTTTATTCTGTCAGGTACCAATAAAAATACAGTATTTGTGAAGTGGATATATGGAAAATGAAGGTGTATAACTGAAGTGCTGAGACAAATGCACACCCCTTCTTTTTTTTTTTTAAAGAAACAGTTATTGAAGTGTACAAAAAAAATATTCTTCTAATTGCTTGCAATGAAAACTGAAGAAAATTATTTCCTCCTATTGAGATTATCTTGGACTAAACAGTCTGGTATTTGGGGACACACACACACATTTTTAAACCACAATTTATTTAGCTTTCACAATTTTGCTGTTTAATCCAGGCCGGGAGGGATTGTTGGGTGAGTCATTGTTGCGCGTTGCATTGTGTATGGGATTTAAAGGATGTGGTGGTGGGACGTGTGCTCACACAGCTGGGTCTCGCTTCCTGAAAGGGGCAGCCACGGCCAAGTTCATTTCAAACTTTATTTGTCCCGTGGTCACAGCTTCATTTTCTGGTGCAGGGTGGGGTGGGGGGGAAGCAGAACCAGCAAAGTGCTTTATTGGGAAGGGGTGTGTTTGGAATAACATCGAGCCGAGGCTTTGGTGACATTCCAGTGCCTGTCTCTTTGGTGACCGACATCAAACCCTCCCCTGCTGATGTCTCCTGCAGGTTTTGCAGACGCTGGGCACGGAGACGTACCGGCCCAGCTCGGCCTCCCAGTGCGTGGCCGGTATCGCCTGCGCCGAGATCCCCATGAACCAGTGGCCAGAACTCATCCCCCAGTTGGTGGCCAACGTTACAAACCAGCACAGTACGGAGCACATGAAAGAGTCAACGCTGGAGGCCATTGGATACATCTGTCAGGATATTGTGAGTGTATCTTAAGTCCTGTTTTATCATTTGAGGTCCTGAACTCAACGCTGGAGGCCATTGGATACATCTGTCAGGATATTGTGAGTGTATCTTAAGTCCTGTTTTATCTTGAGTATATTATAGAGTACATTTGAGGTGCTGAACTCCAGTTCTGGGCTCCCCAGTTCAAGAAGGATAGGGAACTGCTGGAGAGAGTCCAGTGGAGGCTACAAAGATGATCAGGAAACTGGAGCATCTCTGTGCTGAGGAAAGGCTGAGGGACCTGGGGCCGTTCAGCTGGAGAAGAGCAGATTGAGGGGATCTCATTGATGTTGATCAATATCTAAAGGGCAGGTGGCAGGAGGATGGGGTCAGGCTCTTCTCAGTGGTGCCCGGGGACTGGACAAGGGGAAACGGGCACAAACTGCAACACAGAAAGTTCCATCTCAAGACAAGGAGGAACTTCTTTCCTTTGAGGGTGATGGAGCCCTGGAAGAGGCTGCCCAGGGAGGTGGTGGAGTCTCCTTCTCTGGAGATACTCAAAACCCAATTGGAAATGTTCCTGTGTAACCTGTTCAGGTTGAGGCTGCTCTGGCAGTGGTTTGGACGAGGTTTCTGTGATTTTTTTTTTCCTCCAACTCTGTGATTCTGCTGGCCCAACCTCTCCTTTCCCACCCCTCTGCACTGGGAGGCTGGGATGCTTCCTCCTGGCTGTTTGGTGGTGCTTGTCTGGAGGATGTCTCTGCCACCCGAGCCATGGGCAGCGATCACAGGAGGAAGGTGTGTGAAGGGACTGACCCGCTTTCACGGCGCAAATCCAGGTCACCTTTCATAAGGTGCAGATTTCAGTCAGTCTGTGACCATGGTCACACCACGGCGAGGGGTCACCATTATAAAACAGCAGCCAAACATCCAGTTGTGTCAACCAACAAGTGTTTGATTCCTTCCTGTGTTGGGGAGACCTGATGACTCCCTTTATCTCGAAAACAGCAGCCAAACATCCAGTTGTGTCAACCAACAAGTGTTTGATTCCTTCCTGTGCTGGGGAGACCTGACAACTCCCTTTATCTCGCATCAGGAGTCCCTCCATTCTTAATTTAGGAATTTTTGATGCACGGGCAAAACTGTTTAGCCCTTTGAGGCACCTTCTACAAAAGGCCTCGTGGTTTTATCGGCGTAGTTCACAGCATTGCGATGTGTTGCATCAAGGGTCTGATCTGAATTGTTTGCAAAAACCCTGCGAGCTCTCTGACCAACCACCCAAAAGCAAAATCAACTGCTGCTTTTTTGGTGCCACCGGATGCCCTAGAGAAGGTTCATGCGGCATCTCGCTGGGTGAGCCTCAGTGTAGTGAGGTGGGAAGAGAAATCCTCTGTTTGGTGCTTTCCCTCAGGCTGCAGGGGATTGGTTTCACCCGGGAGGTGGGTTGTTTCATGGCAGGTTGATGAAATAGAGGAAATCTCTCCCCAGCTGCGTGGGGGGAGCACTCCAGGGCGAGCATTGTTCATTCCAAGTCCTGGCAAGGTTTGGGTGCAGGTTCCTGGTTTCCTTGGGTGCTGTGGATCCTCAGCCTCTGGAGTTGTGGATGCCCTGGGTTTGCTCCTTGAGTATTTTGTGACCAAGATCCCTCTTAGAGTCCTGTAGTTTGTCAGCCACGTTGTGGCACTGTTAGTGACTGTAGTTTGGGAATCTACTGTGATTAATATGGTTATTTGGGGATCTTGCGACCTTATATTTACCATGAAGAAAAATTAACCTTTAGTTTACATTCATAGCTTTATTCTTTAACCCTTGAGTACTTGACAGTTCCCTGTCCTTGCTACTGATCCAGGCTGTATATTTTTGCCCAGTATCTGGCAAAGATTGGTGACTTCACCAATAAAACTATCACCCATGACTGCTGGTGTAGACTCTGCTCGGTGGGTAAAGGAACTGGAAAACAGTCAGTGGCTTTTAACTTGGGAATTGAATGAAGTCAAGAGTCTGAAGCTTGAAAATCTGGAGGATTTGTGCTTGGTTCAGTCTTGTCCTTCCTGTCCCAGCAGCTGTAGAGACATAACACTGTACAAATTCCTCGTCCTCCCAGTGAACAAAGGGCCCCTTGGCTGTAACATCTTAAAACTTCTCCTAGTGGATTTTTGGGATTGAACTTTGAGGTTGCTTTAAAGAGGTTGTTCAGTTGGCAGATAACTTTATCGACCCTTCTTTTAGGATCCAGAGCAGCTTCAGGACAAATCCAATGAGATCCTGACAGCCATCATCCAGGGAATGAGAAAGGAAGAGCCCAGCAACAATGTGAAGCTCGCGGCTACGAACGCACTCCTCAACTCTTTGGAATTCACCAAAGCAAACTTTGACAAAGAGGTGAGGGGTGGGGGGGGGAAACGATTCTGGGTCTGAAACACCAGGGCTGAATCCACGGTCTGTGATGAGAAATCATGCACCACGCTGAGTTTTGATGCATAATTCCTTTGGGACTGAGACTTGGATTCATTGCTGTAAATCTGGTGTGTTCTTGTAACGTGGAAACGCTGTGGAAATCTTCAGAGATTCATCAATGGAAGGGAAACATCATTGACTCTTCTTTTTTTTTGGAGGGGGGGAGGAATAAATTTGAACTGACCTTTAGACTTCAGCCTATTAGATGCTCTGCTTCCTAATCAAACTTGACTCTGTAATGCTGCTGTAAGAGCACGAGCTTGGATCAGCACTTTCTTTCAAGTGCTGTGGCAGAAATCCAGATTTAACTTCGCCTCTGAAAATCGTTGGGGGAGGAAGGGCCTGGAAGAGCCTTCAGAAGAGGGGCCTCCGAATGGGAGTCTCTTCAGAACAGCCAAACCTATCGATTTTTTTTCTTTTCCTTCTCGGATTAAATGTATCCTCTTGGTCTCTACCAGGGAGAGGATGGGGAAGATGGAATTAATATTCAGCCTTCAGCTTGGAAGGTCTTTTAATGAGAGCTTTCCCTGGTCAACTGCTCGGGGGGTGTTGGTGGGGACCAACTGGAGTCTTTCAGAATTGGAGGTGGGGGCTGCACAGCCCGTCCAGCCCCTGTTTCTGTTGGGTTTCAGTTCTGTAAATGACCAGGGCAGGAGTCTGTTCCTTCCTGCTGAAATGCAGGAATATCCAGGTGCTGCCCCTCAAGAAATTTATATCCTGGTTTTGAGGGTTTTTGAAACAATTGCTGAAGTAGTTCAGGAAACAGTAGGATTTCTTCTTTTTTTTTCTTCAAGAAGAAAAGCTGGAGCCTTTAGTTCTGCTGTATCTTTCTGTTCTGCGCAGCCTGTTAAAAGCTTCTTAAAATGGAAGCCTGGGATTCCCGTTTGGGGGAAGAAATGATGTAAAATGCTGCAGTGAAGAGTAACCTGTGGCTATTCCTTGCTCTTTAGAAGTCCTCCAGGAGCGATTGTACTTGTCCAGCCTCCCTAGGAAGGCTCACGAAGACCTCAGTGCTTTTGGAATATGGTTCTAATGTTCTTTTATTTCTTCTCCTAGTCTGAAAGGCACTTTATTATGCAAGTAGTCTGTGAAGCAACGCAGTGTCCAGATACAAGGGTGAGTGCAAATGATGTGAGGAGGTGGGGTGGGAAATAAATGGCCTTGATTTGTCACTGCACTTTTCTTGGGAAGCTGGCTGGAACCTCCAGCATCAAAAAACAGCTGAAAAGTCTAATCACAGAATCTGATCTGAAATCACATCAGGAATTATAGGTCTGAATCGCAGAATCATGAGCCAGCAGTGTGCCCAGGTGGCCAAGAGGGCCAACAGCATCCTGGACTGTGTCAGGAACAGTGTGGGGAGGAGGACTTGGGAGGTCACTGTCCCCCTGGACTGGGCACTGGTGAGGCCCCAGCTCAAGGGCTGTGTCCAATTTTGGGCCCCTCACCTCAATAAAGACATTGGGGTACTGGAGTGGGTCCAGAAGGGCAACAAAGCTGGGGAGGGGTCTGGAGAAAAAGTCTTGTGAGAAGCAGCTGAGGGAGCTGGAGGTTTCAGCCTGGAGAAAAGTAGGCTGAGGGGAGACCTTCTGGCTCTCTCCAACTCCCTGAAAGGAGGGTGTAGCCAGGGGGGGTCGGTCTCTTCTCCCAAGGAACAGGTGATGGGACAAGAGGAAAAGGCCTCAAGTTGCACCAGGGGAGGTTCAGATTGGAGAGTAGGAAAAATTTTTACATGGAAAGGGTTATTAAGCCTTGGAATGGGCTGCCCAGGGAAGGGGTTGAGGCCTGGAGGGATTCGAAAGACGGGTTGATGTCGTGCTTAGGACATGGCTTAGTGATGGTTTTTTTAACCAGAGTTAGGTTGATGGTTGGACTAAATGATCTTAAAGGTCCCTTCCAACCCAGACTGATTCTATGACTCTATTAAATGATCGGTCCACGTGTAAGTACTCAGGCAAAGTGAGTTTTATACTTAAAGTAGTAAACTACCAGGGGGATTTAAGTTGCTGAAGTATGACGTGAAACTAAATCAGCAGAAGGTCTGGGTCGTTACTCTGTGGGAGGCTACAACTCTGCTTGGGTTTCAAAGCACAAAGAAAGGTCACATCTTTGATGCTTTTTTTCTACTCCGCCAGGTACGAGTGGCTGCCTTACAGAATTTGGTGAAGATAATGTCCCTTTATTATCAGTATATGGAGACATACATGGGGCCTGCCCTTTTCGCTGTGAGTATGTGGTTTCTCACTTATAGTTGTCTGATTTTTTTTTTTTAATTATTTTTTTTTCCTGGGCTCCTTTGCCTTAATCCAAGAGGAAAAGTTTTCCTAACTTGCCGATTTGTTTTCGCTCTGCGTCCTCTCGTGGCGCTCCGAGCTGATAAACTTCTAAATGAGGAGATTGTCTTCAAGAACAGGGACTCTAATGTGGCCTCTGATTTCAGACAATCTTCAATCTCGTGCCAGTTGCCTGAAAGCCGGGGTGTGTTTTTCAGGAGAAATAACTTCCCCTTCTCTTCCCTTCCTTTCTGTCCCGTTTCTAAAGATAACTATTGAAGCAATGAAAAGTGACATAGACGAGGTGGCTCTGCAGGGCATAGAGTTCTGGTCAAACGTCTGTGATGAGGAGATGGACCTGGCCATTGAGGCCTCTGAGGTGAGCTGGCAAATGGCCGTGGAGAAGCAGCAAGTGCTTGTTGAGCCTGTTTGGGAAGGCTGAAATTGGGTTTTTGTGCTGTGTCTGGAAGTCCTCCTCTCCTCCCGAGTGGAAGAAGGGAGGAGAACCCATCCCAGCCCTGTGTGTGGTGGTTGTGAGATGTCATGCACCACTTGGATGCGACGTGATGTGTGTCTGTGACGTGTTGTGTGCGTGGTGTTGTGGTCCCCAGCGTGGCTGTTGGGTGCCCCCAGGCTCCAGGAGCTCTTGTCCAGGGCTCAGCCACCCTTCATTTCTTCTCCCATTCAAGACACCCATGAGCCTTGTAGCCACTGGTGCACAAGGGCCACCATTTGGAATTCCCTTGGGTAGAAAACAGCTCTTTGGGTTATTTTCTGGGCTCTGTAGCCTAATGTAAAGGTCTTGGCGTACCTCAGCTATAACCCCCTTGGCTTACTAGATCAAATTAGGGTGAACTGCCTTTTTAAGCGAGCAAAATGGTTTTAATGCCAACCAGGCAGGGAATTGAAACTGCTGGAGATAAAGATTCTCTGACAGGTTTGATGAGAACACGCTGTGACATACGAGTGCTGGTTTTCTGCAAACGCTCAGTGACAGCTACCTGATTTCTCTTCAGCATTCCCAAACCAGCTCCAGCTCCTCCTGCTTAAGGTTAACCTAAATGTGCATTAAGCGCAGCGCGAGGCACGGCTTGATACCAGAAAATTCTCAGTGTCATAAAGATCTTGGAGCTATTGCTTCATTAAGACGGCAGCTTGAATTATTGAGAAATACATGCCACGTGGACGGGAGAGTATTTCTTGAATTTATTGCTGTCCTGGAGGTCCAGCAGACTCTGTTTCTCTAAGAAAATTCACGTTGGAGGCGTTGAGGGGCTTAGTCCTACCCCAGCGTGCAAAATAATTGATCACGTTCTATAGAATACATTATTTATGAGTATAAGTATAAAATTATGGGATGAAATAAAAGTAATCGTTATCCCCTACAATGGCTGGGGCTGGAGATGAATTTGGGGTATTGTTCTGCGTGCAGATGCTGTTTGCATAAATTAGCTGCAGAGATCAATAATAGCTTAAACTTTGAAGGCTCTAGATGAATCATATCCATCTTTAAAAGCAGCTAAATATATATTTATGTTAAATGCCCCAAAAAGCAAGGATAAAGGGACAGGCAGCAGCACATAGGTTTAGTTGATGTGCTGAGGACCTTTTGCTGCTTCTGCTTGGGGTCATTTGTTAATTATAGGTAACTGCAAAGGGAAAATATTTATTTATGTTTGTACTGGGTGAGGGGGGGCTCTGTACGTGCTTGGAATGGCAAATTGGACTCACTTATGGAATATTTAATCGGGATCATTGCAGGGTGTCCTTGAGGTTCCTGTGCATTGTGGGGGCTTAAAGTTTGTGTTGGGACGGAGAAGAAAGCGCAGAAAAGGGGATTTGTATCTACTGGCGTTTGTAATTCACACCTCATGCCTATAAAGCCACCGAGAATCATTTTGTAACCTTTTTTTTTTTCTAGGCAGCAGAGCAAGGAAGGCCCCCGGAGCACACTAGCAAATTTTATGCCAAGGGAGCACTACAGTATTTGGTCCCGATTCTAACACAAACGTTAACAAAACAGGTGAGTTCCAAAATCCCTGCCCCACGTCTGCGTCCAAGCACTGGGATGGTGATGCTGCTGCTCCACGGAGGAGCAGATTGTCCCTTCCAGAGGTGACTTTTTGATGTGCTGGGTCCTGAGGGTGTGGGTTTCAGTGGTTTTTGTGCCCCCGGGGTGTCAGTCCTCGGTCTGTGATGAGCCCTCATGCACCACTCTGAGCAGATGATGCATGGCTTTTAGGGCTGAGACTGCGGACGCTGCCACTTCTTGATGCTGAATTCTGTTATAGTTTTGGAAGAGATTTGGTGGTTATCTGTATTCCTCACAAAATGTCTGTGAAATTAAAACCGATATTCCCTCTCTGCATCATTAGAGATCCCGTTTCTGGAATTCTTGAGCTTTACTTCTTGAACTGTGAAGTCGGGGTTTATTTAGTCCTTGTTAAGCGCTTCACAGGGACTTGTTTGGGCTGTGTCTCATAGTCTAATCAAAATTAATGGAATCACTTGCTACAGCGGGTCTAATTATAAAATAAACCTGTTAATTAAGCCGTACAGGACAAAGTTCATTTGCCTTACTGCGATGAGCTGGGAAAACGCTCGGTGCTTTTAGTGAGTCCAGGGAACTGCTTCCCAGTTTGTTCCATCACCGTCCTCCTGGATGTGGAGGGTTAAATTGCGGGAGGTTCTAAAGTGCTTGTTAAAATGGGAAAGATGGAAAGATAAAACGGAGCAGGGAATGGCAGGTACAGGGCTTCAAAGGGCTGTGGTGAGTGGCTGAGCTGACAGTTGGGGGGACGAAGGTATTTAACTGGTACAGGGAGGGTGATGGTGTGGATCAAAGGAACAAAATCTGAGCCTGGATGAGAGAGAAGCTGTTTGGAAGATGCATGAGGCTGCTGCAGGCACGTCAGTAAGGAGACAACAGCAGCCTTACACTGGGATGGAAAGGTGGAGATGGCACGAGTAACTCAGGTTGCTTCTCTGCCAGAGTTGTAGATTCCAGCACTGAGCTGATGTGGACATCATGAGGTCCAACCAGGCCAAGTGCAGGGTCCTGGGCAACCCTTGGTATCAGCACAGGCTGGGGATGAAGGGATGGAGAGCAGCCCTGCTGAGAAGGACTTCAGGGGTGCTGGGTGGTGAAAAGCTGGTCATGAAGCCACCCACATCCTGGGCTGCATCCCCAGTAGGGTGAGGGGGGGATTCTGCCCCTCTGGTCTGGGGAGACCCCCTCTCCCAGTGCTGCCTCCAGCTCTGGGGCCACCAGCATCAGAAGGACATGGAGCTGTTGGATGGGGCCAGAGGAGGCCCCGGAGATGCTGGGAGGGCTGG